AGGGGGGTATAGTGGGTAGTTAACCTTGAACCTTTTCTGGCTATATACAATCCCATTGCGAAGAAAAGGCTAACCTTGTTAGGGCTAGGGTATTCAGCCCCTAAGATAAGCTTTGCAGCATCGTGGTCCGACTGATGGAGGACACGCTTTCCAGGCAAACACCCATTTTCTCTACTAAGCCTCACAGTGCGCTTGCCGGGAATCATGTGAGCTTATCTGCGCCCAGGGGCTTAACATCAGCTCAAAGGCATGTAGTTAGGTGAAGCATCTCCCGGACGACGCATGTTCTACCTGAGATGCCACCAGCATTCTTGCTGCAAGGTGTTCCAGAACAAGCATGGAATGTTACTTTTCTCGCATCGTCGTTTTTCCTCACTGCGTCAGACAAGGGCCCCAAGCTCGCAAGACACGCAGCATCCGCGGCCGCTTTACATCGTTAGTCCTGGTCCTTAATTACCAGGGTTGCATGCTGGCAGTTGCTTTGATCTTGTCGCACCACATTAAACGGATAAGCTTCATCCTACGTATCATTACCAAGCCTTCATCCTACGTATCAAGCCGTAAACCCTAAACCCTAACCCCTCAACCCTAAACCCTAAACCCTAAACCCTAAACTCACAGCCTAAACCCTAAACCCTAAACCCTCCTTGTTCGTGGGTTCTGGTGCCTTCTGGCTTGCGCCTAAGGAGCCCGCCATTTACGGCTGACACTTGTGGTTTGTGACTTGGCATCCAGCCCTAACCCCGAAACCCTAAACCCTAGCCCTAAACCCTAAACGTTCAGGGTTTTCGGTTCGTTGTCTCCGAGGCTTCGTCCTTCGTAGCGTTGGAGCAATGCTTAAGCCCGAACAAACCCAAGCCCTAAGTTTCCAGTTCCGAACAACTCTTGGTAGCCCAGTGGTACCCTTTTACCCTTTTTTATTTGGTTTCGGGTTCCCTTATAAAGTAACAGTCCCAAAAAATTTTAAAAAGGGTGCCCTTATTATAATATGGTTACTGGGCTACTAAGAACTAGGTGGGCCCTTGGGACATTTTATATTTCCCCTTATTGGGTTTGAGAGGATCACATTCGGGGATATGTTTCAGAGGGGTGTTAAGGGCCATCCAAGGCAAGGATTTCGGGAATGAGGGGGTACCTTGCATCCCTATACCCTCCTGTTTTCTAGGGGCTCTTTAAATTCATTGCCACGTACTAGAGTATACTCCTTAAACCCTAAACTCTAAACTCTACAACGTTTTCTCCCTACGCCCTAGAAAGCTTCCGCTAGCTACTTCAACATGTGCAATTCAGGTGCTTGATCGGGGGTTTGGGGGTTCGGGACTTGAAAAACAGACCTTTTTGGAAGAAATGCACTTTCTCTAGTCTGGCAGGGAGCGTCTGGGCCTCAGATTTCCAGACAGCCCTATATTCTGTGCCCTAATGCCCAAAACCCTCATGCCCTGCACGAACCCGACTTGTTGATTTCAAACTGTCGGATTTGTGGTTTCAAGTTTCAAGTTTCAGCTGGAATGTGCAGGCGACGGTAAGTTTAGAGTCTAGAGTTTAGAGTTTAGAGTTTAGAGTTTAGGGTTTAGGGTTGGGTTTAGAGTGTTGTTTTGAAGCATTCAGGAAGTCGGAGAGTGTGGGCTGCCCGCTCAGGCAGTACCGCCGTGAGCGCCTGCAGCCAAGGACGCCCGGAAAAGACCCCAAACCCTTTAGGGTTTAGGGTTTTAGGGTTTAGGGTTTAGGGTTTAGGGTTTAGGGTTTAGGGTTTAGGGTTAAGCCTTAAACCGTAAGCGCTAAATCCTAAACCCTAAGCACTACAGCCCCACACGCTCCTCCAGCCCGATAACCTTGAACCTCGAAAGCTCTCCCTTTAACACCTGCAGCCTAAACCCCGAAAGTCCGAGTTTAGGGTTTAGGGTTTAGGGTTTAGGGTTTAGGGTTTAGGGTTTAGGGTCTAGGGTTTAGGGTTTAGGGTTTAGGGTAACCCCACTCCACTTGAAACCTCAAAACTCCTGAACCCCTGCGTCCTGCTCCCCGCTGTGAGCCCCCCTACCCAACCCCCCAAACCTCAACTCCCCTTAAACCCTAAACCCTAAATCCTGAACCCTAAGCCCTAAGCCCTAAGCCCTAAACCCTAAACCCTAAACCCTAAACCCTAAACCCTAAACCCTAAACCCTAAACCCTAACCAGCTTCGACCTGTCAGGAGGATCCCAGCCTCCCGAAACCCCAAAAGCCCCAGCCTAAACGGGGTTTCGGGTTTGGGGTTTAGAGTTCAGGGTTTACGGTTTAGGGTGTAGGGTGCAGGGTCAAGGGTTTAGGATTTAGGGTTCCGGGTCTACGGTTGGGGTTTAGGTTTAGGGTGCTTGTGTCTCAATCCCGTGAAGATGCCAACTTATTGTTAGTTTTTTTTGGGGGGGGGTTATTGCTTTAGGGCTTCAAGGCTTCAGGGTAAAGTGGGTTGAGGGTTGAGGGTTTCGGGGGTTTCGTGTGTTGCTTCCGTAGTTGCAGGTTCACTGTGGATAGCTTTTGCCCTAGACACTAAACCCTATATAAACCCTAAACCCGAAACCCTAACCGCTCTTGGGTTCCGTGAAGCCGTGGAATCGTGCACGCGAGGGTCACCTCGTACTGGTACATGGGCCTTGCTTCTTTTGGAGTTCAGTTTCAGGGTTTTGGGGCGTCCTCACCCTTAAACCCTCAGCGTTGTAGCCCGAAGCGCTATGAGCCCCGAACTCGAACCTTCCCCTCCTCTCAGCTATAGCCTTGTTTCGAATTAATCAAGATGTATATTTATACAAACCCAAGGGAATTTCAGGATTTTTTCTTTTTGTATACAGATATACAGCCAAGGGAATTTTAGGAATTGTTTATCTATATTTATACTCATTTCAACCCCAGGGAATATTGATTTTTTTTTATGTGAAGGTTCTAAGGGGGTAAAGCCAGCACTCGGAATGCACGCCCTAACCCCTAAACCCTAAACCCTAGTGCCGTTTCTTCGGCCGACAGGCCGGAAGTGGAAGTGGGCTCTTTGGCTCCTCCGGGCCACCAACTCAGCTCCATGTTTGACGTGGGTATGTATGAAGAGACGAAAAGGTTGGGGTTTAGGGTTTAGGGTTTAGGGTTTAGGGTTTAGGGTTTAGGGTTCATCAGGGTGATCTTCATACCTTGTATGTGTATCCATTTCCCATGTTCTATGATAGGCCTGCGATCATCGCGTTGCAGTGTCTTACAACACGAATTAACAACGTAAGGTGATATCCCTGAACCCTCAAACCTAAACACAAAGCGCCCACACACGCAGACAGCCTATCGACATAGGGGTGCGGCTTTACAACTTGGGCTTACGCACGTCACAGCAGCCACGGACTCGAGTGAAATCTCCCACCTCCAGCCATCAGCCAAGTTGTGGCCGATAGGGTGTAGGGGCTTAGGGTTTAGGGTATACGGTATACGGTTTGCGGGCTTATGTGGGGTTCGGGGGTTCTGGGTTTTAGGGGCCCTTAGCGCTTCAACTTTTTGAGGTTTCTGGGCTGGTTGAGGATCCGATATAAACCGGCTTAAGGAAAGAGCAGGCGCCTGGTTGCTGGAACAACCTAGGAATCAAGCTTTCGGGCTTTGCGGTCAATCTAGATGTTCTCCCCACACGATTCGCATCTACTTTCACACAGGCCTTTTTCAGCCAATTTGGCGGAAACAAGGTTTCCGAACACCAGGTACAATCCGGGGCCTAGAAACGCGATTTCAACAAGTCATGCGAAAAAGCCAAGAAACGTGCGCGATGCATCGTTCGCGCTCAGGGTCCACAGGTCCCCAATTCCTAAACCCTAAACCCCAATTCCTAAACCCTAAACCCCTAACCCAAACCCCAACCCCGAAACCCCTAAACCCTAAACCCTAAACCCTAAACCCTAAACCCTAAGCCCTAAAAAGCCCTCCGAGCCCTACCAGTCCGGCGCAGGCAGCGCAGCCTTTCGCCCTGGATGCTTCCTGGCTTAGATGGCTGGGTCGCTGGGAAGCTTCGGGTCCTGCGTGGGGGGGGCATGTCTGGCTTTCTTCTTGTGGGGGAATTAAATCCAAAAAAATAAAGGGACCCCCTAAATCAAGGAAAGCTACTAAAAAACAACCACCCTGATGACTTATATGCTGAGTACACCTGTCGGTGAAGCGCCCTGGCCCTGCATGGTGGGGCGGGAGTCCGGTAACACTAAACCCTAACCCTAAACCCTACTCCCTAAGTCCCTAAGCCCTAAACCCTAAGCCCTACGCCCTAAGCCCTAAGCCCGAAAGCCCTAAGCCCTAAGCCCTACGCCCTAAGCCTGAGTCATGTGAACCCCCCTGGAGCGGACCTCTTCGAGCACTACCGGGTTTAGGGTTTAGGGTTCCGGGTTTAGGGTTTAGGGTGAGTTTGACATCTTGAAGCCAAATGTTGTTAACTATCTGAACCAACCCTACCCACCTACCTCCCTACCTCCCTACCTCCCTACCTCCCTACCTCCCTACCTCCCTGCCTCCCTACCTCCCTACCTCCCTACCTACCTACCTACCTACACACACACCCTACAAACCCTGAACTACCCTGAGCCCAAAATTTCCCCCGAGACGGCCCGGCCCCAGCTTGCCTAAAAGCCCTAACACTTCCCTAGAATCCTACCCCTAACCCCAAACCCCAAACCCTAAACCCCAAACCCTAAACCCTAAACCCTCCACCCTCCACCCCTAAACCCTAAACCCTCAACCCTAAACCCTCATCCCCAGCCTCGCCAGGCCACCTTACGTGGAGGGTCTGGTTTCGGCATCCACTTAGGTTGGGGTTTAGGGGTTTGGGGTTCAGGGTTTAGGCTTTAGGCTTTGGGCTTTGGGCTTTCGGCATGTGCTTAGGTTTCTGTGTCGTGTTGAGGGTGCAGGGTTTGGTTTCGGCCTTTTGCTTAGGTTCGGGTGTTTGGGGTTTAGAGCCCTCCGTTGCCAGCAACATTGTGCCCCAAGGACACGTAAGTGTAGCTTATCCTGCCGATGGCTCTCACGCTTCTCACAGCGGCGGTGCTTGGCGTGGCTGCCTCTTCCGGCTGTGTCGGTGATGACTGCTCTGTGAAGGAGGCGGAGGTTAGGGCTTAGGGCTTAGGGCTTGGGGCTTAGAGCTGAGGGCTCAGGGCTTCGGGATGAGGAGGGCTTAGGGCTTGAGGCTTGGGGCTTCGGGTTTAGGGGGGGGGGGATTTGCGGGGGTTAGTGCCCCGCACTACGGTGAACAGGGAGAAGGGCACTGGCACGCCTATTCTTACACGATGCTAGGCATCTATCATCAACCATTTGCTTAAGCTTAAGAGCCCCCCAATCAGCCAAGACAATAATCCTTGTATTGCTTTTCTTAGGAAGGACATTTGGTCTTTTCTTCTAAACCCTAAACCCTAAACCCTAAACCCTGAATACTAAACCCTAGACCCTAAACCCTTTCGTCCGAAGTTCCTCGACTCATCCTTCGCAGTGCCGTAGCTCTGGATGCCTCGGTCCGAGCAGGATGGTTCGATCCTTCTCCAACATCGGCGCAAGGAGGTCGACTTGCCAGACAAAGGCGGGGGGAGTGCGCGCGAGTGTGCGTGTGTGTGTGAGCCCTAAGCCCTAAACCCGCAAACCCTAAACCCTAGACCAAAACCCTAAACTCTAAGCTCTAAACCCTAAACCCTAAACCCGAAACCCTAAACCCTAAACCCTAAACTCTAAACTCTAAACCCTAAACCCTAAACCCTAAACCCGAAACCCTAAACCCTAAACCCTAAACCCTAAACCCTAAACCCTAAACCCTAAACCCTAAACCCTAAACCCTAAACCCTAAACCCTAAACCCTAACCCCTAACCCCTAACCCTAAACCCTAAACCCTAAACCCTTTCCTGCCCACAGGGATGGCCTTCGAAGGCGGCGGCTTCAAGGCGCACGCGGCGCACACCGGGGCCGCTTGGTAGGGTTTAGGGTTTAGGGTTTAGGGTTTAGGGTTTAGGGTTTAGGGGTTTAGGGGTTTAGGGGTTTAGGGGTTTAGGGGTTTAGGGGTTTAGGGGTTAGGTGTTTTTAGGGTTTCAGGATTTTAGGGTTTTAGGGTTTTAGGGTTTGGGGTTAGGGTTCTGTCAGAGTTCAGGGTTTAGGAGCTTGTATAGGGTTTGGAGCTTCGGGTTTATTGTTTAGGGTGTCCAGGGATTGGGGTTGAGGAGCGTTCCGAGTTAAGGTTTAGGGTTTAGGGTTTAGGGTTTAGGGTTTAGGGTTTAGGGTTTAGGGTTTTGGGCTACCAGGGTTTGTAGGTTTATCCTTTCATTGTAGAGCTGTAAGGCATGCATGATCATGAATAGGGGCCCAAAAACCCAGGGTTTAGGGTTTAGGGTTTAGGGTTTGGGTGTTTAGGGTTTAGGGGGTTAGGGTTTAGGGTTTAGGGTTTAGGGTTTAGGGTTTAGGGTTTAGGGTTTAGGGTTTAGGGTTTAGGGTTTAGGGTTTAGGGTTTAGGGTTTAGGGTTTAGGGTTTAGGGTTTAGGGTTTAGGGTTTAGGGACATAAACATGATCATTCCACAAAGAGGGTTTTCCAGAATCCCCTTATAGGCCATGATCCTTTTGTTTATGTTGTTTTTGGGCCCCTACATAAATTCCATACCATGAAAAGAAGAATATCAATGTGTTGAACTCGCCTCTGTCTGTGCAGCAACAAAACAAAGTAGTAAGCATAGTTCCTCAAGAGGGGCTATAGGTTCTGCAGGGCAGAAGGTGGTGTCAATTATGGGTATGTTAAGGGGGTTCTTGATAACCAACAAACCGAGACCTTGTAAACCCTACAACTTAAACCCTATAAAACCTAGAGGCTGTCAAGCGCGGAGTCCTAGTCACTCCCCCAACCCCAAACATTAAAACCCTACACCCCTAAACCCCTAAGCCTCTAGACCCTAAACCCCTCAACCCTAAACCCCTAAACCCCTAAACCCCAAAACCCCCCCCCCCCCCCCCCTAAACCCCCCCAACCCCCCCCCGCAAACCCTAAACCCTAACCTAAACCCTGAACCCCAAACCCTAAACCCTAAACCCCGTTGTCTTCCCCAAGGTTATGTCCGGGCTGCTGGGCGCCTTTTATAAGGCAGCAAGTTCAGCTCCGGCAGGATTAGGGATGAGGGTTTAGGGTTTAGGGTTTAGGGACTGGGTTCGGGGTTTTAGGGGTTCGAGAGTCAGGGATAGGTTTCAGAGGGTTCAGGATTTAGGCATGTAGGGTTGAGGGTTCAGCGTTGTAGGTTGCAGGGAATTTCTCAGTTTAGGGGTGAGGGGTTGGGGTTCGGGATCCTAAACCCTAAACCCTAAACCCTAAACCCTTAGGGGTCAGGGCTCAGGGGTTCATGGTGTGAACCAGCAAGCTGAGACTCTTCACTTCCAACCATGCTCACACAACTCGGGGACCCTACGTGCAAGCAAAGAGCTGGAGTAGAAGTCAGCACTGCTAGGGTTTAGGGTTTAGGGTTTAGGGTTTAGGGTTTAGGGTTTAGGGTTTAGGGTTTATAGGGTTTAGGGCCTAGCGCCTCAGCAACTTGTCCTCACGTGTTTCCGGCCTAAGGCACACAAAAGAAAGCAAACAATGGAGCCGACTGTGGATATGTCATTCCGGTCAGAGATTTCCGGGGCTAGGTTTTCGGGCTTCCATGTGGAACGAACCTTCCCGTACCCTAAACCATAAACCCTAAACCTTAAACCTTAATCCCTAACCCTAAACCCTAAACCCTAACACACACTCACCATGCACACCCTTACTCTCTCACTTACACTTTCACTTTCCCTCTCGCTCTGTTTGTTGAGGAAACCCACGGGAAGATTTAAAATGTACACACATTGCCCTGATTATCGCCTAGGGGAGAATAGCTTGGGATGTTCCCACTTACGCTGGCAGTGCTTTGTAGGGAGTAGAGTACCCCCCCTGTTATAATTCCTATGAAGGACTGTTCGTATCAGGGGGAACATCCCAAAGTACAGCCGAAAACCCGACATCCTAAACCCTAAACCCTAAACCCTAAACCCTAAACCCTAAACCTTAAGCCCTGAATCCCAAACCCTCAACTGAGGAGCCTAAACTAAACCTCTGTCTTTAAGGCCTGCCCTCAGCTCCACAGCCTTACTAAAGCCCCCGGAACCCCCAAACCCTATGAAGCCCAAAACCTTAAAAGGTGTAGGGTTTAGGGTTTAGGGTGATCACCCTAAACCCTAAACCCTAAACCCTAAACCCTAAAGCCCCAGAGACCTGGCAAGAAGGCATCGGCGGAGAGCGGCGAGGAGCCCAACTTGAAGAAGATGATGAGGAATGTCAAGGCAAGGGGCAACTGATCAGCCCTGAGCCCCTCAGAGTTTTAAACCCTAAACCCTAAACCCTAAACCCTAAACCCTAAACCCTAAACCCTAAACCCTAAACCCTAAACCCTAAACCCTAAACCCTAAACCCTAAACCCTAAACCCTAACCCCTAACCCCTAAACCTAAACCCTAAACCCTAAACCCTGAGCCCCTTAGGGTTTTATGTAGGGCAGGGCTTCGGGCTTAGGGTGTAGGGTTGACGAAAAACCCAAACACCAAACCTTGAACCCTAAGAACCCAAACCTATCAGCCTAAATCGTCCCAGAAAATATATATAGACGTATACAAAAATGCGCCATATAATATATATATATATACACATATACATAAAGAGAGAGAGAGAGAGAGGGACCACATGATGTTGAGTTTTTTGAGTGTTTGGCAAGTAACAAAGAAAGTGAATAAACAAGATAGCTAAAGACACATATGAACATTGCATTCATCGTACTTTGCACGTGCGATTGAAAAGAACTTTCTGCGACAAATGTTTTTTGAAGTCATGTTTCTTGTGTTTGGGCGATAGCAGCCGCGCGCGAGCATCGACCAGAGCGGACCATTTTCTTGCACAGCGCCGTGGAGCAGTCGAAGCAGTGTGGACAAATTGTTGTATGATGTGATATCTTTTTTTGTCGAGCTGTCATATACTTACATGGTACTTATATCGTGCTTTGCAATATCTTGTTGGCTGTGTATTGGTTTCTGGTCTTGAGACGCTACATTGACTGGCAAAGTTTAAAGGTTATAACAATGTGTGAAGTACTGTACAACTCATCTAGTGTGTTACAATATCTTGCTGGCTATGCATTGATTGATCTTGAGACATTACATTGAGATATAAGAGGTACCTCAGATACTCTTGGTTTGGATTTGTTTCCTTTTATTTTAGCAGTTCGGAATGGTAGGATCAAGTGTTTGGTTTACTTTATACTGTTGGTGCGGCTTTCTGTACTACATTCTGAATGGGTTTGTATGTAAGTAGAAACATGAACGGAGGAAGAGGGTTTCTGGGCTTCAGAGTGTTGGGGTCCAGGGTTTGGGGGGAGCAGGGTTCTAGGGTTTTAGGCTTTATAGTGCTGGGGCTTCGGTTCAGCCCCCGTACAGTCATGGTTTGGACATATGTCCTTACGCACCCTAAACCCTAAACCCTAAACCCTAAACCCTAAACCCTAAACCCTAAACGATGTCGCAAGGAGAGCATTTTTGCATGCCCGCCTTGTGGCACCCTACCTGAGCATGGTGTTTTTGTTGAGAGACATTGTCCTGAAGCCCTAAACCCTAAACCCTAAACCCTAGGGTGTAGGTATCGATTCTGAGCGGCTTGGTCTCGGGTTGATGATGTAGGGCTACGCATTGGTCTTGAAATGGGGTTTACAGACTCCAAATAGTACGACTCCCTTAGAGTAAGGACCCCAAGAAGGTACCCCTAATTGCGGAAGCCCCCAAATGTAAACCCTGACGCCCCAAACCTGACCAAAAAAACCTTAAACCCCACCTTAAACCTAAACCCTAAACCCTCAACCCTAAACCCTGAACCCCTTAAGCCCTGCGGAGGCCATCGCGTCGAACAGCGGGGGCACATGGTTCATATCCCAGCCGCTTTGCTCGTGGAATCGGTTGAGGTTAGGGCTTGGGGTTTAGGATTTCGCTTTTGTGGGAGTGAGTTTATGGTTGGCCTAAACCCTAAACCCTAAACCCCAAACCCCAAACCCTAAACCCTAAACCCTAAACCCTTTCAGGCATCAGCTTGAACCAGCTGGTGAATGTGGGATCACCGAACAGTTCTTTCTTAGCAAACGAACCCTCAGGCCGATCTTGGGTTTAGGGTTTAGGGTTTAGGGTTTAGGGTTTAGGGTTTAGGGTTTAGGGTTTAGGGTTTAGGGCTAGTAAATACTGGAATGCCCAGTAGTGCCTTCTAGGGGCTAGGTGCCCTTAGAACCTTTACTTGCCCTTGGCTACCAAACAGCTTAGACTACTTGGCCTCAACATTCCATGCAAGCAGCTGGGGCATCTTGAAGTTTGGCGCCCAGGTGGTTTATGTAGGATTTAGGGTTTAGGGTTTGGGGTTTAGGGTTTAGGGGTTTAGGGTTCAGGGTTTAGGGCCCAAAGGTTTCCCTGAGTGTTCTCCGAATGTGGCACTTATGTTACCTTAAGGATCTTCAACCCCGGAATTACGGCCTTCATTTTGCTTTGGGCAGTTTTGCATACCCAACTCTTGTCATGCTATGAAGCACGTTTTTTCCCGAGTGACACAATGGATGTTTTCCTGTTACCCAGAGAGTGCACCGCCAAAGTACTGCAGAGTACATCCATCGTTACATGTTGCATTGTGCCGCACGCTTCCTATCCCGCAACCCCCTTCGTGTTTCGTTTCCTTCGCTGCCTCCGGTTTGGAGTGCACGAGGGCAGTCCATGCCTGAACTCCCAAACACTAAACCCGAAACCCCTCTAAACCCTAAACCCTAAACCTTAAACCCTAAACCCTAAACCCCAAACCCTAAACCCAATCTGGGGTTATAGGGTCTGGGGCTGGAGTGTTCCCGAAGAACTCGTTGCCTAAAAATTCTGAAGTTTTTTTCGGCTCAAGGAATGGCGAAAGTGTCTGATGTTCGCATCTACTGGACCCGAAACCCCGAAACCCGAAACCCTAAACCCTAAACCCTAAACCCTAAACCCTAAACCCTAAACCCTAAACCCTAAACCCTAAACCCTAAACCCCACTCCTCAGCCCCAAACTGTGCCGCAGTAAGGCCCTGTACGAGCTACAAGCCCAATAAGCCTTCTACACCCTCCGATTGAAGCTTTTGCAAACCGAAAAAAAACCTCCCAAAAACCTATGATCATAAACCCCCAAGTAGTAGACATAGAATATTCAGTTTTATTCATCCAAGCATATGCAGTACATACATATGTATATATATATATATATACATATGTATATACACATACATAGAGAGTCTAAACCCGAACCAATCACAAGATGCCCTAAACCCTAAACCCTAAACCCTAAACCCTAAACCCTAAACCCTAAACCCTAAACCCTAAACCCTAAACCCTAAACCCTAAACCCTAAACCTAAACCCTAAACCCTTTGTAGGCTGGTCTACTCACCCTCCTTTCTCACCCTGATTGAGACCATTGCGGCGAACCCGGCTCAGGCGAACAAGCAGTACAAGGCACTCGCAGGGCGAAGAAGCCCTAAACCCTAAACCCTAAACCCCAAACCCTAAACCCTAAACCCTAAACCCTTGACTTTTCTTCAGGAAAGCTTCAAGCACAGTCGCCCCAGATGTTTTTTCAAAAGATGCGGCCAGTCGCTTTCCCAAAAAAACAGCATCTTTGGAAGGTCGAGTCAGGCTGGAAGACGACCTTTGTCAGTTTGTCTCTGTGTGCGTGTGCGTGTGCGTGTGCGTGCGCATGTTTTCTTCTGGCAGAGTGCCTCAGAGTGCAGTAGAACATCCCATTCGCTTTCCTTAGGGCTTCACTTCAGTCCCGTTGACAACCCTAAACCCTAAACCCTAAAGCCTTAACTCTGAGCACTAACAATGAATCGGCAAATGTCGCGAGCCAAGGGGGCCTTAAAAGGATATCCGCTCGGAAGCCGAAGGTTACATGGGGCCTCAGTGCTGGGAGGTTTAGGGTTTAGGGTTTAGGGTTTAGGGTTTAGGGTTCAAGGTTCAGGGTTTGGGGTTTCGGGTTTTGGGAGGGACTCGAAGGTCAAATCCTCAAGAGGCTATCGGGTCTGGGGCCTTGCGGGTTTCAGGGTTCGAAGGTTTGGGGTTTAGGTTTTAGGGACCGAAGGGTTTAGGGTTTAGGGTTTAGGGTTTAGGCTTTAGGGTTTAGGGTTTAGGGTTTAGGGTTTAGGGTGTTGCAGGAGGGATGGATCGAGCGCTTCCTGGGGGCCGTTACGGGTGCTGATGCAGGCTTGGAGCTTGCCAAATGTAGGCCTAAACCCTAAACCCTAAACCCTCAACCCTAAACCCTAAACCCTAAACCCTAAACCCTAAACCAAAGTCACGACATAGGACCGACTTGGACAAGGCAACTTCTTGGAGTAGATTCATGGGCCCTTCATGTGGTCCCTTACCTCCTTTACAGGGTTCTGATGTATGGGCCCCCTTGGTTTTTTTCGATAAGGGGTATAGAGGGGGTATAGAGGGGGTATACTTGTATTGGCCCATAGAAGGGACCATGCCTAAACCCTAAACCCTAAACCCGAAGAGACAGGCCCTATTGGGGTACATGGACTGGGCCTCTGTGAGAATCTATGGCATCGGGTCAAAAGGGGTTTAGGGTTTAGGGTTTAGGGTTTAGGGTTTACTAGACCCCGCAACAAGCCCTAGACCTAAAACTGACGATGTCTCGAGCACGCAATCTATGTGGAGTAGTGGTTTCAGTACTCGTATCCGCAAACGGACATATCATATTCCACGCTACCCAGGCAGCAGTGGAGTGCCTATCTCATGGCAGCAGGGCATATCTCAATGTAGACTTTCACCTCATGCAAGGGTTTAGGGTTTAGGGTTTAGGGTGTAGGGTTCAGGGTTTAGGGTTTAGGGTTTAGGGCCTTCTGCCCTGCCTCCGGTCTCCTGAGCCCAGAGATTGACCTAGGTTGGCCCTTGGGATAGATTATGTTTAGGAATATTTCTGAGAGGGTTTCAAGGCCATCCTAGTGACTGTATGGGTTTAGGGTTTAGGGTTTAGAGTTTAGGGTTCAGGGTTTAGGGTTTAGGGTTTAAGGTTCAGGGTTTAGGGTTTGGGGTTTACCCATTTGGGTTGTCTTTCCCCCGATACAAGCTGAGGGGGTTTTCTAGTCCCAAGCAGCCGTGCCATCTAAGCGCCTGGAAGACCCAGCGCAAAACAGATATAGGGCTCGACCTGCACAGGGGGTATCCCCAAATTCTCCATCGATTTCCTGGAACCTGGAACCCTAAACCCTAAACCCTAAACCCTAAACCCTAAACCCTAAACCCTAAACCCTAAACCCTAAACCCTAAACCCTAAACCCTAAACCCTACTTCGATTCCTGGAGAGGTATACCTTCGGTAGGTTTGCTGGGCTGGGGGCATGATGTCAGCCATCCGCGTATTTCTGTGCCGGCCAAGCCCACCAACTGGCTTCTTGGCTAAGGGGCATGTGGGGTTTAGGGTTTAGGGTTTAGGGTTTAGGGTTTAGGGTTTAGGGTTTAGGGTTTAGGATGCACAAACAGGCTGAGGAGGCATGTGACACTTGGGGCTTATATCGGGCTTAAGCGGGGTTTTGGGTTTTGGGCTTTGGGTGATTCTAGGGTTTAGGGCTATCATAGGTCATTACAAGCCTTCGTCGCTATGATGGGGTAGGGTGATGGAGGGGCTTGTAGTGTGTAAGTGGGCGTACTTTTGTCGTAGACTCAAGCTCTGGTACTTGTGGGTGTCTTGGTATTACTGTTTTTTGATGTAAGAATCCCAACGGAAGCCCTAAACCCAAAGCCCAAAGTCCTAAACCCTTGTCTTGAAGGTACCTCTATCTTTTTGGGGACTGGGGGAGGTTGGGGATTTGTCCCGGTGTCGTATAGCGGCCCCCCTGAAAATCAAAAACGCACGCCGACGTTGCTTAAGGATTAGTTTTTATAGGGTTTAGGGTTGATGTTTTTTTGGGGGGACGGGACTTTTGAACAATTACGCGAATTTCCCCACTGCCTATCCCACTGAGGACAACCACAGGGCCTTGCCTCTTCGTGGACAACAATAGAGACCCGGCACTGCCTCGTAGGGTGCAGGGTTTAGGGTTTAGGGTTTAGGGCTTAGGGCTAAGGGCTGAGGGCTTCTACCAAGAAGGCGAGCATGCATGCCCTACATATGAAGAAGCAGCTGCCGATGCTTTTGGTCTAAGGTTTGAAGCATGGGCCCTTAGTATGGTCCCTTACCCTTGCATATAGGGACCCGAAGTATGGGCCCTTCTTATGTGTAGTATGTGTAAAGGTCAGCCGGTGACTTCGCAAAAAATCGGGTCGCCTATTTTTGGCGGACCCTAAATAAGAGGGCTCGCCTTATGATAAGAACCCCGAAAGAGACCATATTTTAGAGAAGTCACCACATATTCAGGGACTTAGATGAAGGGCCCATGCTTGGAAACTTATTTAGGGTTTAGGGTTTAGGGTTTAAGGGTTTAGGGTTGAGGGGTTAGGGTTTAGGGTTTAGGGTTTAGGGTCCAGGGTCTAGGGTCTAGGGTGCAGGCGTGTCCGAACTTCACCGGAAGGACAAGGAACCGCAAGAGCCGGCTCGGGCCACGAGGACCACAAGAGTGGAAATGAGAAAGCTGGGTTTAGGGTTTAGTGTTTAGGGTTTAGGGTTTAGGGTTTATAGGCCAGGAGCAAGGAAGAAGCCACCGGAGATCTGGAGCAGGATGGGGTTGTGGTGCAGGAAAACATGGCCGTCTAAGCACCTAGACTAGTGTAGGGTTTAGGGTTTAGGGTTGTGGGTTGTGGGTTTAGGGTTTAGGGTTCAAAGATCTATCAAGATCCCCCCCCCTCTAGATAGAACGTACACCAGAGTTGTCGGGGTTGAAGTTGAAGGGTCTGCACGTCTGGATTTGGGATGTCAGCCTTGCTTCCAGGTTTGCATTGCGTAGTTTAGGGTTGGAAGCTTGAGGTTGCGGCTATGGCCTGAATTTGCTGTACCTACTACAAACCGAAGTTTCCTTAGGTCATGCATGTTCGTTTAGGGTTTGGTGCTCTTCCTGAACTATACAGGCTATTGAGCCATTGAAGTCTGGTAGTTTGCGGTTAGTATCCCAACACGTGACCCGCAGGTTTAGGCACTGACCCAAAGGATCCATGTACCTATATAGCATATACTTGGGCCCTAAAGCTACTATATAGGAACCCCTTTAAGGCCTAAGTATATACTATATAGGTACATGGATCCTTAGGGTGAAGCCTCAACCAAGGAATTTTGGGCGACGTTGCCAAGATTGCCGACCCTTTCTTGCTCAACCTAGCAGAGGCGGGGTGGCCACGGAGCCCTGAAAGCACCACCGGACCTAGAAGAACCCGAAACCCGAAACCCTAAGCCCTAAGCCCTAAACCCGAACCCTAAACCCTAAACCCTCAGCCCCCTTAACCCTGACATGGACCGTGCTCCAGGTCTTAGAGAGGTCCAGGACATGCAACCCATGGAATCAGCAGCCTTGTCATGGGCTTAGTAGCTGAATGAGTACACTTTACACTTTTTTGAGGGTTTAGGGTTTAGGGTTTAGGGTTTAGGGCTCCCCTATAGAACTGAAAAGTGTGCACCTTTTTAAACGAACTCAGCAACTAAGTGGATTCCCCAAGTCGGCGAACCCACGACCTTGTGTTGAAAGAAGGCCCGATGTTCCGGTTCGGCTTTCGGTGCCGTAAATTCCTGGGTTTAGGGTTTAGGATTTAGGGTTTAGGGTTTAGGGTTATTCGTCCCTTGATCATATGCCAGCCTGAGAGAGGAAGATTATGTTTAGGGTTTAGGGCTTAGGCGGTTAAAGGGGGGAACATCCCAGCATGAGAGTTTACGAAAAGAAAGGACCCTAGATACACCCCCCCCCCCCCCCCCAAGTTGCATGATTCCCTTGTCATATAGACCACAATAAATGGCACCACCAAATCTCGGAGCACCCTAAACCCTAAACCCTAAACCCTAAACCCTAAACCCTAAACCCTAAACCCTAAACCCACATGTACCCGAAGTTGAGATGCAGGTGATCCTGGAAATCTTCTTCCTCGCCCGGAATGCCTCCAGCTGGGAGGCGGACGTCAGATTCTCGACTTCGCGGAATTCACCCGAGCCCCTCAACCCTAAACCCTAAACCCTAAACCCTAAACCCTAATCCCTAAACCCTGAACCCTGAACCCTGAACCCTGAAAACCCTGAACCCTAAACCCTAAACCCTAAACCGCAACCCTACATCCTGAATAAGCCCTAGATACCCACCGCATTGAAGCCGAGCCCAACACCGCCAAAGGGCCGAGTTTAGTCTAGCTAAACCTGAAGGCCATCAAGGGTTTAGGGTTTAGGGTTTAGGGTTTAGGGTTTAGGGTTTAGGGTTCCAGTTCAGGGTTTAGGGTTTAGGGTTTAGGATTTGGCGAATTCTTGAAATTGAGCTCCTTTCTTGGGTCCGCAAGAGAAAACGGCGCCCTCATAAAACGGGACCCCCTTTTGCAAAAGGACGTTACTCGTTAGAGAACCCTAAACCCTGAACCCTGAACCCTAAACCCCAAACCCTAAACCCTAAACCCGAAGCCCTAAACCCTACTTTACAAAGCTAAGTTGGAAGGCAGTGGTGAGCACACTCCTGCAGAGTACGAGCAACGGCGACATGACTGCGAAAGACACCCTCGGCTCGAAGGTGAACGAATGGGCTGAGGATCGCTGGGGTTTGGGGTTTAGAGTTTAGGGTCTAGGGTTGAGGGTGTAAGGTTTAGGGTTTAGTATTTGGGGTTGAGGGTTGGTTTTCTATAGTGCGGTTTTCGTGGTTCGTGGTCTTCTTTCCCAAGATCATTCAGAGTTTCGGTTCAGCGGTGTCGGAGCACGAGACTGCAAGTGTGAGCGCTCACCCTTAAACCCTAAAACCCTGACCCTTGAGCCCCAAACCCTCCTTCAAGCCTATGCTAGGGCTTAGTCGGGTCGAGCAATATTCGCTCTGTGGTGCTTTACCGTAACTTTAGATCCTTAGCCAATTTGGGTTTATTGGGTTTCTTAATAAGGTAGCTAAAAGTTCGTTTTTTTTACTACCCTCCTAAGTGCAGCCAAGTTCAGTCTCGTGTAGTAGGGTTCGATAGGGCTTTGAAGCTATCACCCCCCTCCCCGTACCCCCTTCCTCGGACCGTCCTTGATCCTTCGAATTGCAGAATTGGGGGGGAGTTTTCGGGCCTGAATTAGCTACAATTTCAGGAAAACTTCTAAGGGCCTCAAATATGTTCAGCCGTTGTATGTCAAGCTCTTGTGAACCTAAACGAGTTTGAACAAAAGTCCTTCCAATGGAGTTCAGACTTTGTGTTGTTTTGAAAAAGGTTCACTGGTTGAACTGCATTGGGTTCCTGAATTTTGGCTTTCCAAAAACAGCACGCTTCTTAAAATCTGCGACATGCTCAGTCCCTTTGCTTATAAGACTAAGTTCGTGCCCAAACCTCTAGGGGTGTCGGAGCCAAGTTGCTGGCGGATAAAGTCTGCTAGAAGCCTGGAAGAACGGATTTCAAACTGCACTATAGGGGCCTTCATTAGAACAATGTTTCCGAGTTATTCTAGTATACTTACATAGGGGCCATAAGGGGTTTATTCCGACCCATCTGTTTTGGTTGTCTTGAAGGAGGTTTACTACATGCTGTGTTATGTTTTTTTTGTAGTCCCCTTCACATTGCATCAAACCGTTAAGCCCCATAAAGTCCTCATCTAGCACCCGGAGTGGGCCCCTACTTCCTCTTTTTAGGGCTGGGGTCCCCTCATAATCCCCTTACAACCAAAAAGGGCACCCTATGTCATCCTAGGTTACTCCTGGGTCTAGACCTAAACCCTAAACCCCAACCCCTAACCCCTAAACCCTAAACCCTAAACCCTAAACCCTAAACCCTAAACCCTAAACCCTAGTGGGCATCGTGGGCTAAGGCGTTTTAAGTCCTTTGGCAAGAGGCATTGGCCATCGGCACATGGGCATCCCATGGCTGCCTTCCATGTCCGATGGGTTTGGGGTTTAGGGTTTAGGGTTTAGGGTTTAGGGTTTAGGGTTTATAGGTCTTAGAATTTAGGGTTTAGGGCTACTAGGAGCCAGGGTAGGCCCGTAGTCCTTTTTTTTTGAATGTTTAGGTTCCCTTACATGCCCTTTGGAACCAAAGCGATCACCCTGTTGATTCCTAGGTTACTGGTGGGCGACATGTCTAGGAGTCTTAAGAGATGAAGGCTTCTTGTACATTTAGATAAAACTACAATGCACTCTTGAGAACCCCCCCCCCCACCCCCCCAATGTGCAGTATCGTGTGTGTTCTAGCCGATATAAGCCATTGTGTTTTTTCACCAATGCCAGGGTTTCTGGGGTGGTACCTAGCCCTAAAACCAGAGGATCTAAACCCGTTGTACCCCAGCCCCTCACAGACAACCTTCTTACGATGTACCTTTACACATGCAGGTTTAGGGTTTAGGGTTTAGGGTTTAGGGTGTAGGGTTTAGGGTTTAGGGCGTAGGGTCTACCAGCACTTGGCCAGGCCTGAAACCACACACCCGAAATCCGAATGGTTGCAAATAAATCGACGCCTAAACCCGAAGCCCGAAATCCCAAACCCTTAAACCCTAAACCCTAAACCCGAACCCTAAACCATAAACCCTAAACCCTAAACCCTAAACCCCGAACCCTAAACCCTAAACCCTAAACCCTAAACCCTAAACCCTAAACCTAAACCCCGAACTCTAACAGGGCAAGTGGTGGATGGCTGCAACCAGCATGGCCACGCCGGGCGGAACTGGCCCCGGGAATTGCCACTGGCTTCTGGGCTGAAGGCTTTGAAGGATGTTGGGGGGGTTGGGTTTAGGGTTTGGGGTTTTGAGGTTTAGGGACCTCCCAAAACCCCAAACCCCAAACCCCAAACCCCAAACCCCAAACCCCAAACCCCAAACCCCAAACCTCAAACTCCTACTGGGTTTAGGGCTGATAGGTTTTCGGGTTTAGGGTTCACAGAGGGTGTTATATGAGTTAGGGCCTCAGGGTTATAAGGTTTCGGCCTACGACCTGAGGTACAAACTGGACCTTTGTGCGAAAGCACTTGTGGGCTCCCGTGGATCTGTGGCTATCTACAATGGCAACAGCACTGACACCAAGTGGTTGTATGCCGCGAGTCCTGCCTTCAAAAGTTCGGGTTACCAGGGCTTTAGGGGTTTAGGGTTTAGGGTTTAGGGTTTAGGGTTTAGGGTGCTTGACAGGAGAAACAACAGACGCGAAACCCGAGACCCTGAACCTTGAAGCCTCAACCCGAAACCCAAAACCGGAATCCCTAAGCCCTATGCCTTAAGCTGCGTAACCCAAATAATTCAGCTTTGAGGATGTCGTAGCTACGCTAGCCGAGGTGCATGAAGGTCGCCATCCCTAGCGTTTCGGAGCTGGGAGTAGCTACCATACAGTGGCTTTGGGGCCGCCCAAGCATATTTGATGTACGGATCTGCTGTTTAGGTACATGAACCCCTGAGTAACCTGGAGTGCAATCCTCTTTGGGGCTGGGCGCTCGCCCTCAAAAGCCGCAAGACCACAGCTAAGTAGGGCGGCAGTCTGCAACGTCTCTGGACCCTAAACCCCGAGCCCGACGTCGGTTTTTTCCAGGGTTGAGGGCTTTGGGGCAAATCTCTCAAGCAATATATGTCTCACGAGCCCTAAAGCCGAAAATCACCCTAAGCCCTGAACCCCAAACCCTAAGCCCCAAATCCTAAACCCAAAACCCCAAAACTCTAAACCCTAAACCCTGAACCCTAAACCCTAAACCCTAAACCCCAAACCCTAAACCCTAAGCCCTAAGTCCTTGGTTGGTTGTCGGACTCAGGGATCCTAGGCTTCCCAGCCCTGCAAAGAAGTTGGGATCTGTGCACGCGTTTAGGGTTTGGGGTTTAGGGTTTAGGGTTTGGGGTTTAGGGTTTAGGGTTTAGGGCCCTAAACCCAAAATCCTACACCCTAAACCCTAAACCCTAAACCCTAAACCCTGCCAAGCCCGGAACCTTGTATTCTGCACCTAAGCCGAATGAACTCACATGTTTTTCATGGACACCCCCCTCGTTGAGATGTTAGATGCAAAACTACAGTTGGTTTAGGGTTTAGGGTTTTAAGATTTTTAAGGCACCCTAAACGCCCCAGTCCTTACGCCCTGACCCCATAAACCTAATCCCGAATTCCTAAACCCTAAACCCTAAACCCTAAACCCTAAACCCCAAACCCCAAACCCTAACCCCAAGGAGCACCAAGCCCACAGTGCCAAACTTGGCTGCCTGGACACCTGCGCGATTCAGCACCGTGCTCGGTGGCCCGGCACGCATGTCGCAGGGGTTTAGGGTTTAGGGTTCAGGGTTTAGGGTTTAGGGTTTAGGGTTAGATGTGGGCTGAGTGGTCACCCTCCACAAGAGACGCACCTGAGTTTCGCGAATGTGGGGTTTCGCGTATTCGTCTAGGGCTCAAAATCAGGGGGGGTTTATCTGCAATGGACGTTTCACCAAGTCCTGGGGTACCCGGTTTAGGGTTTAGGGTTTAGGGGGGTCGCCTAAATCATATTCTGAACTCACATAGGCTTATGGTTTTGTGAAACTATTCCTAGAAATGTTGGGACAACTTTGGTGGTTAAATCGTCCACGCTTTGAAAACAGAAAGAAGCCAGAAGAGAGTTTGTAGAGAGAGCGAGAGATGAAGAGAGAGAGAGAGAGAGAACAAATGAGAGAACGAAACAAACAAGATAGCTGCCCAAAGAAAAGCCCTAAAACCCTAAATCCTAAACCCTAAACTCTTAAACCTTAACTTAAAACACCCAAAAGTTTAGGAAACTAAGCCCTAACATGCGACCTGGTTAGAAGGGTGGGAGCCGCCCCTTATGGGCGCGCGGGAAAATAAGCAGCGCCGCCGGCGCAGGGCCCCGGTTTAGGGTTTAGGGTTTAGGGTTCAGGGTTTAGGGTTTAGGGTTTAGGGTTTAGGGTTTTGGGCGTAATCTGGGGCCGAAAGAACTCGCATAGAGTTTACATGCCCAAGCGGCGAGAGCGCTGTTCTTGGTCCCTTTGGAGACACCCTCCACCCTAAACCCTATAATTAAACCCGAAACCCTAAACCCTCAACCCTATAAGTAAACCCTAAACCCTAAACGGTTTGGGGCCTGCGGGGCGTCAGGAGTTTTCCTAGACAATCGGGAAACATGAAGACCCCCCGCCGCGTCGCCGACACGGCGCCAAGGGCATTTTCATTCATTCATGACGCAGCTCACTCCCCCTAAGGATCCATGTACCTTTTTTTTTCTTTGGCCTTAAAGGGGTTCCTATATAGTAGCTTAAGGGCCCAAGTATATGCTATGGCTATATAGGTACATGGATCCTTTGGGAGGGAGCCTAGCGCGGCGTGAAACTGACAAGTTAGGCTTCGTGACCAGTCATACGGCAAGCCTGACGGCGACAAGGGCAAGTGCGACCCCCAAAGTCAGCGTGAGCCGACTCATGGGGTAGGGTTTAGGGTTTGGGGTTTAGGGTTTGGGGTTTAGTGTTCAGGGTTTAGGGTTTAGTGTTCAGGGTTTAGGGTTTAGTGTTCACGGATATGTCTAAGGGTAGTTCATTTGGGCCCTGAATATGGTCCCTTGCCTCCTTTCAAGGGTTCTGAAGTATGGGCCCTTGGGTTGTATAGGGTGTGCAAGGGGTATACAAGAGGTCCGCGTTTAGAGGCCCATGTTAAGGGAACATGTAACAACCCTAAGAGTTCGTGGGGATATGGGATTTAGGTTTAGGGGATCGTGCGCTTAAGGCATTATTTGAACTTTCATAGATTTAAGGGTATTCGGGGGTTGAGGGTCTCAGAGTTTGGATCCTGCGAGCTTAAATCTTGCTGAACCTCAAACCCCCAAACCGCCTAAACGCCTTAGGCCTTAAAATTTCTTCCTTAGGGTTTAGGGGTTTCGGGTCTAGGGTTTAGGGTTTAGGGTTTAGGGTTATGGAGGTCTCATTATCAGGGAATCTTACTATTGGGGGATGGGTTCCCCTATTTTCGTAACCCCCCCCCCCCCCAATCTGAGGGCATTAGTGCTGTGGGTACTGGAGTTTGTTGTGTAAGGCGGCGGTGACTCCGAACCCGCGCCCCTGAAGTTCTGCGATGCTTATTGCGACAACCTGCGCCTTGCCAAACACCGGAGCTACTGTGGTTGTCTAACTTAGTAGCTGAAATGAGTACATTAAAGGATTTAGGGTTTAGGGTTTTAGGATTTGCAGTTTCTTAGTAGCCGAATGAGTACACTTTGCAGTTTTTGGGATACTACAATCCCCGATAGAGCTGAATGTGTACACTTTTTGGGGGCTTATATGAACTCAGCAACTAAGGTAAGGAACTGCGACTTTGGAATTCGGGTGCTAGGGTCTCAGGTTTCAGGTTAGGTTCTTTACATGGTCAGTTGTTTTTTTCTGATGTTTGGTCTTCTTGTGCGGTCCTTTGGGAATACGGGGCCCGTAAACGCTAAGAACAAGGATCCAGAAAGAGCTAAGCCGAATGTGGGCGCCAGGCGTTTTGCCCGTCTGGCAATTTCAGGTGAGTAGTTGCAGCTTGTATACGAAACTTCGGAGGTTCTTCTAAAGGAAACTGCCTGGACTGGCTGTGCTAGGGAGACCGGACTGTTTGCATTCCAACCATCCCTGCGACTCTTTAAGGCCTAAACCCCCAAAACTGACAGCTAGCTCTTCTATAAGGGTTTAGGGTTTAGGGTTTAGGGTTTAGGGTTTAGGGTTTAGGGTTTAGGGTTTAGGCTCTTTTTCAGGTAGCTTGACAGAAAGTAGGGTTGGGCCTCCCACAGAAGTCCCGACAAAGCCTGAAGTGAAGCAGCTGTATGTCAAACCTGTAACCCTCAAGCTCTTAAACCCTAAGTTTAGGCTTCAGGGATGTTCCTTTCCTAAGCCCCAAACCCGAAACCCAACGAAACCCTAAACCCTAAACCCCAAACCCTAAACCTAAACCCCAAACCCCTGACCCCAAACCCTAAACCCTAAACCGGAAACCCCTTAGCCCTTCTCTCCAGGAAGCTCGAGTACACCGCCTTGGGGCAGTCGGTGGCCTCTCAGGAGCTATAGCAACTTCCCATCCGCTTCTTGAGCGGAGGTTTAGGGTGTAGGGTTGCGGGTCAGGGGTTTAGGGTTTAGGGTTTAGGGTGTATAAGGTCTAGGGTTTAGGTTTTTTTACCCCAAACTTTCGGAACCCTAGATAACCCCTAAAGACGGGGGTTACCGTCAGGCCTCAGAAGCCTGAAAAGAATACCTTGCGGTTTCGGGCGCAGGGCTTAGGTGTTGGTATTCTCACTCAGTGGGATCAGGGTTTAGGGTTTAGATTTTGGGGTTTAAGGTTTAGGGCGGATCGTACTTAGATGTGTGTTTTTACCATAGCACCCCAAACCTTGTCTTTGTTGGGGGTTATGTCCCCTTCTAGGCCCTAAACCCTCAACCCTAAACCCTAAACCCTGATGTTGCACCTGGTTTAGTAGGGGCCTCCGCTAATAAGTCAATTTGGCTGTGTTCTTCAGGACACCCTGACTGTTTGGGGGTCCCTCTTTGCGGTCAAATCGTCCGGGCGCCGTAAGAAAATTCCACGTGGCGCGCCTTTATAACCATTGCCGGGGATCGCTGCCCCTTTTAAACTTATCCAAACTCCCCCCTACTAAATTTTATATGAACCCCTGCGAGCGTCTAAACAGGGACAAATCCAGCCTCGACTGTTCAGGGGGGGAGGGGGGCCCACACTAAAGCAGGTGCAACATGAAACCCTAAACCCTATACCCCTATTTTCTATACCCTAAACCCTCACTCCTCAACCCTAAACCCTAAACCCTAAACCCCAAACCCTAAACCCTAAACCCTAAACCTTAAACCCTGAACCCTGAACCCTAAACCCTCCCCAAAGCCTAAACCCTCTGTCTTCAAGAGCGGCCTTGGCTGTGTGGAATTTTCATTTGGACCCTCCCTTTACCCGAAACACGCCCGCAGGCTGCGGACTGTGACTTGTGGGGTTTAGGGTTTAGGGTTTAGGGTTTAGGGTTTAGGGTTCTTGCAACATTGGGCATTTCCCAAAACAGGGGTACCCCTTTCCTACCCATTGTAGACTCGAATCCCCCTAAAAGGAGCCCCCAAAAAGGGTATCCCTATTTTCGAAAACTCCTATATGGCTTTACACACATCACCGTGCGCTTTTCAATTTTCTACACTTGTGGGACTTGTCAAAGCTTTTCGATCAACACGTCGACCCGAGTTTCCGCAATTTGTCCACGCTTTTATCCGCAAGTTGTTCCGCAAGTTTCCACATTTCCCCACAGTGTTTCCACCTTTTCTTCCCACAGATTGTGTTTACACCACTCGTTTCCTGATTTTCCACACAAATTGTGGAACAAGGTAGGGGCGAAAACGCGTGGACGCGTGGCGGGCAATGCGTGGAACAAGTTGTGGAAAGAGTGTGAAAAAGTTGTGGAAAAAGGTGCCTCGCGTTGCCACATTAGATGTTGCACGTCGTGTTGTTGTTTTTTTTTTTACGGGAACCTATTTTCCCAGCTTGTCTGTGCAGTTAGTTTGCTTCTCCGCACTTGCTTCCCAGCTTTTTTTTCGCATGGTAAATGTTGCAGAACATCGTGTGGACTCGTGGACAAAAGTTGCAGAACATGTGAGAAAGTTGCGGAGAAAGTGTGGACAAGGTCGTGTGGAAAAGATTTGGAACAGCTACCGTGATGTGTGGAAACAAGTTGTGGGCTTAGATGCAAGAAGCCCTGCAAGAAAATGCTACGTGGCCCCCCGAAGCGTCACAGCTTCGCAACAATCATGTTGTTTTGCTTGCATCATGTCCGACATCGCTATCGACAAAACTATTCACTGCGAACCAGCAACCTTTTGAGCGCAAAGCCGCGGTCATAAACAAAAACATAGTATTTCCGCACAAGCAGCGATGCCGCAGCGCAGCATGATCGGAGCGAATGGTTCTGTCATTTCTCTCTCATTCTTGTTCCTTCTCCCCTCTGCATTTCTTCTCCCCCTATCTACCATTTTCCGAAAAGCACAGAAAATGGTAGCAGCGTGTTGAACTTCTTAAATGGGTCGGGAAGTCTTGATCCCCAGCCTTTCAAGTTTATAAAGCTTGGATGAAGAAAGGGAACCAACCAGCGCAACAAAGGAGTGTGAGGAGACACCCCTCTCCAAGCTGCAGCAGCCAACACAGCCACCGTCTTGCGACGGTGGGACTCGGTCTGGTATGCTGATGGCCCGCGGCCCCATTGAGGGCGCAACAGCGGGCCAAAAAGCGACCCTGTACTTCATATGCCGGGGACTTACTTGCAAGATCTGTGCCAACCGTGACGTGACTCGATTGTTCTTCGCAGTGATTCAATATAGGCGTCACAAGGCCGAGAGCAACCTTGTGCCTTTTGTTCCAAACGTCCTTCGTTCACATCTGATGTGTATAGGGAATGACAGGTTAGACTTCAGAGCACCCTAGTCGACTGCGAAGGCAATCGCTTGTTCCTCCTGCGTTGCTTAAGGTCTGCAAAGGAAGTATTCTCGTGAGAGAATTTTTCTGCAGCGCGTGTCTAGTACCACAACGCTAAACCTTGATTTAGTCCTTCTGGGCTTGGTGCCGTCGCCTGAATTCTAGCAACCCTGATTAGTTTCTGTCTCACGATTCTTTTGCAAGGCCTTGTTATTTTGAGCAGTATTTTGGGGTCGTTTCCTGCCCTCCGCGTACAAACGTTCAAAGTTCGCTGACAGTTGTTTAAGAAAAGCGCGATCCCAGCACATAGCCAGTGCTGAAAATCAATTACAATCCAGCTCCAGTATTACGCCCGAAAAATCCAGCCGGCTCATCAAAAGCATCAGGAAGTTCAGTGAGGATGCCTGGGCTTGACACAACATGAGGAAGCGAGACCTAAATCACAACATTGTTTTCAGTTGTGGAAGCGATACCTAACCCCAAAAGCGATAACTACCCTCATGGCAAAGACCCCTTGCGGCCACGAAGTATTGCCGCTCGCACAGGTAGTCCGCTATCCCTTCCATAATGAAGGAGGGTGTGTTTTTTTCTCCATCATGCTTGGCCGGGTGTCGCTTGGGGTTCCTCACGCGAGAGAGGACGCTGCGTCTCATCACAGTCCTGGTGTGTGGAAAACCGAGAAGCTGGAGCAAGCCCCGCCGCAGGTGTGGTGGATTTTGAATTTGGGTGTCAATCAGCTCAAGTTATATCTATACGCGATTGACTGCAAAAACATCAGGCCGATGACCCGGCTTGGACTCTTCAAAGAGTCAAGGAGACACTGGTTTTACGGCCGTTTTCGGTGTTGACCATCATGTGAACATGGAGCCTCGTTGCAGGAACTTGCCGGAGAAATCGTGGCCTTCAGGATTTGCGCAGAGACCGCCGATTGATTCATATGTCAGAATTGCCATTTTTGCAGAGATGCCCTGACGAGCCTGAGAGGAACTCCTTTCCGGACAGTTTTCTAGTCCAGGCCTGCCTTCGCAGTTTTTTGAAGTGTGATGGCGGTACTGCTTGTTCTCGTGACGATATTTTTACCCGACCCTGTATAGAGGCTTGCTGCGCGTGATTAAGCCTCTAATCCTTTTCGAGAGCTCATGTGCTTGCCGATTCCGAGCACGAGGCCCAATTCCGATTCGAAAACTTAATCGCCTCTGGCCTGTTGCCATGTCGCAAAACACTGGGCCTGTGAGATTGCTTGCCTCGGAGGTTGAGCTCAAACGAATATGGGTGATCGGTGTAGTGAAGAGCAAGAATGAGTTTGAAAAGGCGATGGCTCTCAGTAGCTCTGGCTCTCAGTAGCTCTGGCTCTGGCTGTGACTTTGCTACATCCCCAAAAGGAAATGGGAAAAGGCCCTTTCACACAGCCACACCGACACACCCCGACACACGCCGCGCTCGCCGACACACACCGACACACGCCGCACTCGCCGACACACGCACTCACACACACACACACTCACACACACACACCCACACCCACACCCACACCCACACCCACACCCACACCCACACCCACACCCACACCCACACCCACACCCACACCCACACCCACACCCACACCCACACCCACACCCACACCCACACCCACACCCACGCACGCGTGCACGCACGCACGCCCACGCACGCACGCACGCATGCACGCACGCACGCCCACGCACGCACGCACGCACGCACGCACCCACCCACGCACGCACGCACGCACCCACGCACGCACGCACGCGCGACGCACGCCCGCGCAGCACGCGCACGCCGCGCGCACGCCGCCAGCCGCGCAGCAACGCCCGCGGCACGCGCGCCCGCGCCGCGCCACGCGAACGCGCCCGACGCCCGCGCCCGCGCCGCCCCGCGCCCCGCGCCCGCGCCCGCGCCCGCGCCCGGCCCGCGCCGCGCGACGCGCACGCGCACGGCACGCGACACGCGCACGCGACGGCACGCGCACGGCACGCCGCAAGCGCACGCGCACGCGCACGCGCACGCACACGCGCACGCGCACGCGCACGCGCACCCGCACCCGCACCCGCACCCGCACCCACACACACACACACACACACACACACACACACACACGGATACACTGCATTCAATACTCTGTGGTGCTTTGCTGTAACTTTAGATCCTTAGCCTTTTTGGGTTTATTGGGTTTCTTAGTAAGGCAGCTAAAAATTGAATTTATAGCCACCCTTCTAAGTGCAGCCAAGAATATCATATTATGTTACAGGTGCATTCTGGTAGTTCTTCTGTCTATGGTGCCTTTTGCTGCAAGAAGGCGTCGTGCAGCAAAGCTGCCCATGATGGCACCGTGCTCTGATTGCTTCGAGTGCGGCCATCTTGGTTGCAGTGGTCGTCTGCGGAACCCTGCGATTCCAGGTACCTTCTAGAGCAGGTCTGTTGTTCAGGGTTAAAGTTTAGGGTTTAGGGTTTAGGGTTTAGGGTTTAGGGTTTAGGGTTTAGGGTTTAGGGTTTAGGGTTTAGGGCTTGCAGTGAAGGGCAGAATGCAAAAGCAAGGCCCTTGGCCATCTTCGTTGGCGTCTGCAAGTCCTCTTATGGGTTTACAAGGTTCTGGGTG